TATTTCATTGAATGCCAACATTTCCTCTGAAAAATTATACTTTGTTTTGCCCAAGTAGGTGATTCTTGGTTGTAATTCTAGCTCTTTTACTTTCTGGGATATCATATGCAAACCCTCTGATCCTTTAATGTTGAAGCTGCTAGATCTTGTATTATTCTGACTATAGCTCCAAAATTTGAGTTTTCTTTTTTTCTGTCTGCTTGCAATATTTTTTTCCTTGAGTTGGGAGCATTGAAGTTTGCCTGTCTTATTTCTCAGTTTTTCATTTGGAGATCTCTTACAAGAGGTGATTGGTAGATTCTTTTGATACCTATTCTATTATCTGTTTCTGGTTACCTTCAGGGTAGTTTTCCATGATAATTTCTTGACATATGATGTATAGACTCCTTATCATGGCTTTTAGGTAGTGAAATAATTCTTAAATTGTCTCTCCTAAATTTATTTTCCAGGTCAGTTGTTTTTCCAATGAGATGTTTCACATTTTCTTTTTTTCCCCATTTTTTAATTTTGTTTTATGTCTTCTTCATGACTCATGGAGTTGTTAGCTTCTATTTACCCAAATCTAATTTTTATTTCTTCAGTTAGCTTATGTATTTCCTTTTACATTTGGCCAATTCTACTTTTTAAGGAGTTCTTTTCTATAGTGAATTTTTTGTACCTCTTTTTCTATTTGGCCAATTCTGCTTTTGAAGGAATTCTTATTTTCATTGGATTTTTGTGCCTCTTTGATCTGTTCTTTTTCTTCAGAAGTTATTGTCTTCAGCATTTTTTGTGCGTTCTTTACAAAGCTATTGACTTTTTTTGATGGTTTTCTTGCATCACTGTCATTCCTTTTCTTAATTTTTCCTCTACCTCTCTTATTTCATTTTAAAAATCCTTTTTGAGCTCTTCTAGGAATTCTTTTTCTTTGGCCTGAGATCAATTCACATTTTTCTTTGAAACTTTGGATATAGCTATTTTGACTTTATTGTCTTCTTCTCAGTTTTTGTTTTGATATTTCCTGTCATAGTAACATTTTATGGTCAAGTTCTTTTCTTGTATTTTGATAATTTTCCCAGACTTTTTCTTCACTTTTAACTGTATATGTTAAAATTGAGCTCTGTTGCTAGATTTCAAGGGGCACTATCTCAAGATTCAGGTTTGTGTTTTTTTTTTTTTGTGCAACTGTTTTCAGAGTTAGTTGTAAGGGATCTGTAAATTTTCAGTTCTTTCAAGGTGGTATTGTCTAAGGAGAGATATTTTTATCACTTTACTGTCCTATACTCTCTCCTGTGAGCAACCACAAGCACTGTTTCCCACCCTGCAACTGTGACCAGGGTCCCCGTTCCCCTTTGGCTGCAAGCTCTGTTGGATTAGTGCTTCTTCTTGCCCTAGGACTGTGACCCAGGAGTGCAACCCAGGGCTGCGACTCTTATCCAATTGTGGGCAATACAACAGAGTCCTGCTAGTATTGCCAACAAGGGGACCCCTGTAATCTCCTTCTGACCAGTTCCCTCATCCATCTGTGAGTTAAAAGCTCTGGAAACCACTGCCACAGCTATCAATTCAGCAACCCCCAAGACTTCTTACTGGTTTTATGGCTGGGGCATGTACTGCAATGGAATATGCTCCATTCTCAGCCCTATGCAATAAACCTTTCCTGCCAACCTTCCAAGTTGTTGAGGCCTAGAAAATTGTTTCACCCTGTTCTTTTGTGGTTTCTGATGCTCCAGAATTGGTTTTAAGGAATATTTAAAATTGTTTGTCAGTCAAGTCCCAGCTGAAAAGCTCTGCCATGTTGTCTCTGCTTCCTATGTCCTCTCTTCTGCATAGCCTTCTTTACCTTCCCCCATTCTCTTATCCCCTTCCTTTCTTCTCTTCAACAATAACAGCTAAACAGAACCTTATTCATTCCATTACTCATTCATGCTTTATAGAGCTAGTTAGAGCAGGTATTTGCTAGAACGCCAGACTTGGAACCAAGGAGACTTGAATTTCAATCCTCCCTCAGTCTTCTGCTCAGTGTCACCCTGGATAAATCTCTCAGCCTCAGTTTCTTGTTCTACAAAATATATCATAGTAATAACACTTACCTAATGGATCAAATGAGATAATAAATGGTAAGCACTTTGCAAACTTTTAGGTGCTATATTTCTATTATTAATAATTTACCTTTTGCCCTTTTCTTTGAGTTTTTTGCAAGCTGAATATTATGCTCTGGCTGCTTTAGTTCTTGTTTTAGTAGAAATGCCTCTCTTTTTTAAAGCATCCTTTTTTCATCAATAATGACTGAGTTCATTTTGTCATGGTTTCCATTCTGGGTTGCAGCTTGAGTTTCTTTGCTTTTGTGGAATATACCATGCTATCAGCTTCTGCAATTTTTCCATGCATGAGGACTAATCCTATGTTATTCAAATTCCCCTTCCTTCATACTTGAAGATCTATTTTCTGACTGTCGCACAACTTGTTATTTGTCATTAAAATTATTGAATTTCAGCACCACGGCTTTGGAATTTGGATTGTGAGCTTTTATTCTGGCCATAAAGTGTGCATCCCCTTGATTGATGCTTTGCTGTCTTATTCAGACTTTCCCAGCTGTTTCCTTGTATTGTTTCCTGCTTCATGTTATTCATGGTTTTGTTTGGTTTTGTTTTAGCTTTTCATGTTCTTCGGAGAGGCCTCTAATCCTTGACTTATCTCTCTGAATCCTGTCCTCAAGGTCAATGGCTTGTATCAAAATGATGGACTGTTGTGGCCTATTGCTTCTCTTCTGCCAAATTGTCCTCCATGTCCAGTTTTAGATGTTCCAAATCTGCTAATCTCTCTGTCCCAGCTTCTACTTCTTAGAGAAATTCTGCATTATTGATTCCATTTTTCCTATTGTGCTAATTACATGTGTGTATTTAGTGGAGCACTTTTCAGAGCTCCATCCAAAAAGCTTTCAATTCTGACCTACATTCATTTCTATTGTCTCCTATTTTGAATTTTATTTCGTTTTGTACCTTCCTGAAATGTCTAGTACTATGCTCTGATTTTGAGGGGAGCCATAGGTTTTTTGTCTTTTGTAAAGAATAACTGCTTCACTTTCCTTCATATTACATTTTCTAGGTGAACTTTGGATAATCTTTGAAGTCACAGAAAAGAGTATTCCATTCTCAGCCTTCATAATTCTTCCTCTACTCCTTTCCTTTCTTCATATGGTTGGCCTGAATCAAAGTCTGCAACTTCCTTTGGAGGCAGGATTTTATTTTATTCTTATTTATTAATAACCACTATAGCCATCAGGGTCCCTAACCTAGGATGGGACCTGGAGACAAAAAAGAAGCCTTCAACTTCACATGTGCTTATATTCAGGGATCCAAGAAGGCCTAATGGGATGGGCCACTGGGTAAGACTCCTGTGCAAGAATATTCTTTCATGTGAATTCATACACATTGTTCTTTACAACTGAAGCCTTTCTTCCCTTCTGTGTTTAGCTATAATTACTATACACATGGCACATGATCCCTTTTGCAGTGGGGATTAACATGAAGTCAGCTAGCATTTATTATTACTCCACTCCCAGCCCCGTACTAAGCACTTGGAATACAACAAAAGACAAAGTGAGTCTAAAGATTTTTTTTTCAAAAATTCCCCTTACTCATCTCAGATGTTACTCCTTGTCTCTAGCTACAATTCTTTGTCAACTGCCCTGAGAGTCATGGTATATTTTCTTAGGCTTTGGTAGTAGTGATTTCAGAATGATTCTTTGCTGCTGCAAATGTTTCTTATTTGTGCTGGAGTAGAATGTAAGCTCTTTGAGGGCAGGACTTCCTTTGTTTTGTTTTGTTTTTGTCCTTGTTTACCCATGTACAGCTCTGTGTCTGGAGTATATTTGGGGATTAATGAATGCTTGCTGAATGGAATTAGATTAGGATTTCCTCATTGTAGTACAATGTGTCTTGCTCATTCATTCCTTTGATTTCTTCAGTCTTCAGGATATGAGCAGTTCCTCTGGAAGGTCACTTCAGTGCCCTTGTCTTTCTCTTTCAATGAATTCTGGCTATTCTTGGGTGATGAGAGGGAGCTTGGCTCTCTTGGTTGTCTTTGATCCTTGGAAATCTAGCAAGCTTCAGAAAGCAACAGAGCATGTGGAATTCAGGCAGCTCGCTGCTGGGCCCAACTCGTTAGCAGGAGCTGTAGATGGTATCTAGGCCAGGCATCATAGAGATCATTGCATTCTTCTCCACACTGGGAGGTCTGTGGTTCCCTGAGGGAAGGCTCAGTTAGATATCCCCTGGATTAAGTGATGTGTGTTTGCATGCATACAAAGAATCATGTATGAATAAAATGTGGTGGTAACAGGCATCAAAATAAAGGAAATAATTTCCTGAGTTAGGACTACATACAAACATAAATTCATGAATGTAGAGCAAATAGGATTTCATGATTCTATTAATAAAAATAGCTGACATTTTTGTAGTGGTTTATGGTTTGGCAAACTCTTTATAAATATTATCTTATTTGGTCCTCACAACAACCCCGAGAGTCGGGTGCCATTATTTTCTCTATTTAACAAATGAGGAAATAGAAGCAGACAGACTTTACCTGACTTGCCTAGTGTCGTGCAGCAAGTAAGTGTTTTAGGCTGGATTTGAACTCAGGACTTTGTGATTCCAAGCACAGCTATGCCACTTTGCCCCCAGCCCACTTTTATGTGGAAGCACTTACAAATTATCATTTATCCCAAATATATGCAGACTTATGTGAACCTTTCATTTCATACAATGTGGAATTTCACAAAGCCTGTATATGTGACTTTTTTAAATTAATTAATCAAAAGTTCAAGATCTGTTCCAGCTCTGATATTTCATAATTCTATGGTTACGTGATGGGAACCCGATGTTTCCTTTTGATCATTTGAAAATTCTATTTCACTTGAGACATTAAAGACAGAATGTGCCTTAAGAGAAGGGGTTTTTAATCATTTGAACTCGGGAAAAATACCAACAATGATGTGTATGTTTTTTTTTTCCTTTCAGATTTCTGTTCAGAGACATGCTCACTGTCCACAACCATTTGAAGTGAATCGACATTCAGGATAAGTGGTAAAAAATATGAATTTATTATAAATAATGATATGAATCAGTTCTCCCCAGAGATACAGAGTCTTACTTTAATGATAGAGTTAATTAGTTTTCCAATAGCCCTGGAATTAGGCTGAGTGAGAGCCATGAAAACCATTACAGCTGTTGGTGAACCATGGTGGGAAATAAGCAGCTGGATTAACTGTTCTCCTCTGCTTCTTCTGTTGTCTCTTCTAAGAAAGAGTCTTGCAGTTGACCATTTTTGCTTTTCTTTGGGTGAAAAAAAAGGTGCCAATAATGTCAATGTAGGGAAAGAATGGTTTTAATATAAGATATCATAAGTGAAAAGCAATAACAAGATCAAAAACAGAAAGTAAGATGGTAGAGATCAAAAAGGAAACGCTTCGCATTTCTGTGTCCAAGGGCCAGGAATTTTAGACATGCTCCCCCCTTTTCTGCATCATTCCTAATTGTTTTCAAAAATGGTTGGTGAAATTGACAGTTCTACCAGTATGTTAGAAGGCTTTATTTCCAATAGCAACTCTGACATTTGCTATTTTGATCTTGTGTTACTTTGTCTGTTATCTGGACATCCAAGGAGCATTCTGCTTAGCAAGCAGGCAATTGGAGGTCTATTTCTCACAAGGTTTGTTTAGCCCCTGCACAGCTAGGGAATTCCTTCACTTTTGAGAACAATGGATACCAAAGCTTAAGGGAAAATAATGGCAATTGATTTAGTTACTTACATAAAGGAGCTACTTCAGGGATGGAAAGTTTAGGTGGCTTTAACAAGAATCAGCAGAGGAGACAGGTCTTCAAGGGCAGATCCAATGCTAATATTGAGGTCCATAGTTCAAGGAAATTGAAGAGGAGAAGAGAGGTTTGGAAAAGAAAAAAGTCACCCTTCACATACACATAAACACATAAACATTTCAGCTGTCTTGATGAGATAATGGCATTTGCAAGACTACTTTCATGGGAGCCACTGTGGGATACAGTCATTTCTGTAAGATAAGGGCCCCTTTTTTGTTTTTTGTGCTCAGTGTTTAGTTTTCTCTCTGAAGGCAGATAGAATTGTATATCATGACTCATAATGGGTCATTGTATTGAAGTGAGTAGCTAAGTCTTTCACAGGTGATCATCATTATAATATTACTGTTACTGTGTACAATGTTTTGTTAGTTCTGTTCACTTCACTTTGTATCCATTCATATGAGTCTTCCCAGGATTTTCTGAACCCTTCCCCCTCATCATTTTTATAGCAAAATAATATTCTATCATAATCATATCCCACAACTTATTCAACCAATCTCCCAATCTTATCCCACAACTTATTCAACCATTCCCCAATTGATGGGCAATTCTTCATTTTCCAGTTCTTTGTTATGAGCCCACCTCTTAAAAGACAGCATGACAAAAGAAGAGATAGTTATTTGGAGTATTTCAGAAAACCATCTCTGCTAGCTTTGCATATATGTATGTAATAATGGATTTCTCTTTCATCAATATAAATTTATATCTGTTTTTAAAAAATCTTTCTAATTAAGGAAATGTCTGTGCTTTAGCTTAAATTATGGTAACCATTTATAAAATAAAGTATCAAATACAGAAAGTAGGAAAACAGATATGGCAGATTACAGAAATAAAAAATTATTTTCCTAATATAGGTAGAAGCAGTTATTTTGATTTGCCTTTCTCTTATTAGTAACTAAGAGCAATCTTTCATGTAATTGTTAATATATTCCTTTGATCACTTAGCAATTGAGGAATAACACTTGTTCTTATATGTGTGTGTTAATTTCATATATGTATACTATATATACATAGTGTATACATATGTGTGTATATATGTATGTATCTATATACACATATATATGTGTGTATATGTATGTATATATATGTATGTATGTATGTGTGTATATATATGTGTGTATATATATATATAGATATGATATAAATATAAATATAAATATAAATATAAATATAAATATAAATATAAATATAAATATATATATATATAATATTAGACATTGGTCAGTGAGTACTAGTTTAAAGATTTTTAACCTAATCAATTATTTTCCTTCTCAGATAGAATACTTATTAATACATCCCACACACTGTACTAAGTGCTAGGAATTAAAATATAAGCAAGAGATATACTATCTTATATCAAGAACTTGCCTTCTAATGCAGAAAGGCAACAATAGAGTGGTGCTGGAAGGTACGGGGTAGGCATGAAGAAGAGATACTTCAGCATGGTGTGCATTATGAGAAAAGAAGAGTAGAGTGGAGACTTGGATTCTGGTAAGATAAGTCAAAAGCTTACTTTTCAGAGAAGAGCGACTCAATTGTTACATTCATTTCACTGGTGGGGAGGAGGAGGAAGAGATGTTCTGAGTAGAGATGGCATCACTGGAGTCAGCCAGGAATCTTAGTTGCATTGATTTTGTTCATGTAAAAGCTTTTACATTTCATGTATTTGAACTTACCTGTTTTAGCTTTTATAATCACTTCTATCCACTGCTTGATCACACATTAACCCTTGAGTCAGAGTCATAAACACACCTGTTGTTGTTTTCATCTTTTTAAAAACATGGTTTCATCTTTAATATTCTAGGATCATATCACTTTTGAGTGTATTGTATTACATGTTCCAAGATGTTGGTTAAATTTCATTTCCATCTAATTTATTTCTGTTTTCCCTTACTATGCTTATCTACTATGCTTGTTCATTACTAAGTAATGTATGTTTAGCTTTAATTGATCATTAGGTTATTGAGTTCAGTTATTTCTAGTTCTTCCTTATCTGGTATGGTTCACTGATCTGCTTTTCCATTTCATTTTTACTAATACCTAGTAGTTTTGATGTTTACTCCTTTATAGTGTAACTTGAGGTGTGAGAAATGTTATTCCCCTTCATTTACTTTTTTCTTTTTTTTTTTTGTCTTGAGATTCTAAGCATTTTGTTCCTCCAAGCTAATTTTGACAATGTTTTGTCTATCTCTCTAAAATACGTCCTTGGTAGTTTTATTAGCATAACACTAAATCTCTAATAATCTAGGTAACATAGTTTTTATTAGCATGGAACCATGGGCAATTAATATTTCTTTAGTCATTCAAGTAATTTTTTTATTGTTTTAAAGGACATTTTGTAATGATATTTGCTAAGCTAGGCTTTGTCTTGGTAGATTTACTCCAAAACATTTGATGCAATTTAGAATCAAATTTCCCTTTATGTTTTTTTAATAATTTTGTTACTGATATTTAGAAATGTTTCTATGTTTTTCTGCTAATTTTTGAAGCTTTTGATCATCTCAGTTATCTTCTTTGTTTCTTCTCTGTGGTTTTCTAAGCAAATCATCATATTATTACACAACAGGGGTATTGGTATGTCTTCTGTCCTAGCGTTGATGTCCTGAATTTTTTCTCTTGTCCTATTGATAACATAAACATTTCTTTTTTTTTAACATTTTATTTTTTTCAAATTACATGTAAACAATTTCAACATATTTTTAAAATTTTGAGTTCCAAATTATCTTTTTTCCCTTCATTACCATCTTTTCTCTCTGAGACAGTAAGCAATTTGATAAAGATTATACATGTGCAATCATTCAAAATGTATTTGCATATTAATCATGTTGGAAAAAGCAAATATTTCTAGAACTATGTCAACCATTAGTAGGAAAAATTAATGTTCTGTTTTGTTCCTGTATATATCAAAAAGGTTTTCATCATTTCAAAAATGCTGACTTTTTATTTCAGATATGTACTTTTAAATTATCTTTTAGAATGACCCTTACTGTACTTGTGCTTTGTATGGCTTTGACATAAATGACTGTTATAAATTACCAAAGGTTTTTCCTGTATCTATTGATATAATCATATGATTTAGGGTGTTTTATTTTTAATATAATTATTTCTATTGCTTTCCTAATATTGAACCCTCCCTGAATTCCTGGAAAAAAATTCAGCCTAGTCATAGGAAAATTTTTTGGCTGTATTGCTGCAGTCTTTTGCCATGATTTTATTTAAAATTGATACATCCATATTCATGAACAATTTTACCCATAGTTCTAAAGCTTAGCTTAATCTTTCCCTGGGTTAAAATTTAGTAGCATATTTCTTTCTGGAAAAATTTTAGAATACTTTTTTTTTATTTTTGAGACTAAATTGTATGGCATAAATATTATTTTCTATTCAAGTATTTGATAAAAAAAAAAACCCATTGACTAGTGTCTCTACTTGACCTTATGTTGGTAGTTTATTTATGACTTGCTTAATTAAATTTTTAGAGATCTTAATTTCATGTTCTGCCAATTTGGGTATTTATGTAATTTGTTTCTTTATAAATCTCAAGATGTACTTGTTTATAGAAGGCTCTAATAGTTTCCTTTATTTCTCATCTGTTGTGATTTTTACCTTTTTTATTATTTTTTGCTAAAAAACAAGCAAGACTGGTCTCCACATTATTCTATATTATTGTGGCTGGAAGTCTGGTGGTTATTCATGCGCCCTATCATACTGCTACTCATCTGATTCACTATGACCTTCTAACCTGGGCTGCTTTGCGCCTTTTTAGGCAGGCTGGTGACCCTCCACTACAGGGGCCTCACCATATTGATGTCTACCAAAGCAGAGAGAAGGCCGGTATAGCAACATTCGAGTGTGTGCTTGGAAATGTTAAAAAATCATCTCTCTGCCAACATACACATTTACATTTGATATGCATTATTAATATTTTCTCCATCACTTTTTTAAAGTCTAGAAGTCATCAAAGCAATCATTCATGTCCTAATTTGCAGCATTTGCTGATTTCCAAGGTGTAAATCCCTGCACAGAAAATTTAACAATTGCCTCTTGGACAGTAAGAGATTCATCCAGCATTTTTCTGTCTACGTCAGAGTTTTGGAGGGGAAATAATGTTTGAGCCTTAGTCCAGGTTGCAAAGGGGCCTAAAAACTAAATGGAGGATTTTATATTTTGTCCCATAGAGAACCTTGGAGTTTACTGAGAGACATAGA